GTATGTATGTATGTATGTATGTGCGTATGTATGTATGTATGTATGTATGTATGTATGTATGTATGTATGTATGTATGTATGTATGTATGTATGTATGTATGTATGTATGTGCGTATGTCTGTGTGTATGTATGTGCGTATGTCTGTGTGTATGTATGTATGTATGTATGTATGTATGTATGTATGTATGTATGTATGTATGTATGTATGTATGTATGTATGATAGATATATAGATAGAGAGATAGATAGATAGATAGATAGATAAATAGATAAATAGATATATAGATATATATATATAGATAGATGGATAGATAGATAGATAGATAGACGGATATAGATAGATAGATAGATAGATAGATAAATAAACAAATAGATGGATAGATAGATAGATAGACAGATAGAAGCATCGATCGATAAATAGATGATCGATAGCTAATAGATCGATCAAAAGATAGAAGAATAGATTAGATTGTCGGTAGATGATAGATAGGGCATACGAAGGAAGATAAGATATGATAAATAGTAACATAGATAGACAACTAAATAGATAGATACATGGAAATAGATAGATGGAAATAAGGAGGTAAGTAGCTGATAGTCTAGAAAAGAAAGAAGAGATGGCGGAAACAGGGGGGAAATCGAATGGGGGGGGGGCAAGAACACAGAAAGTACACATTTCTGGACCAAACATGAGCTCAATTTCGTCCATGTCGTCCACTTTTCAGACGGTTGTTGAGCCCCATGTCAGGTCATCTTGCAGGTTTGTTGTGCCATTGTTGCGCGTATGTTGCTTTTTGTTGGCTTTTGACTTGCTGGCCCCAAGTACGTCCATGGCAGCTATGTTGGGCCTACATATCTTGGAATCATCTTGCAAGGGCCTGGTCCAGGCCTGGGTGCCTGCCTGTTCTTATGCCCGCCGGGCGTAAGCGCAGGCGGGGCTTTGGCAGCGCAGGTTTGGCAGGGTAAAGGCTGTTTTTGCATCATTTTAGGCCCAAAACCTGTTCGATGAAGGGCCTGCCTGTTCTTATGCCCGGTGGGCATAAGCGCAGGCGGGTGAAAAGGAGACATTTCATCCACAGGATTGTTTTGCCGTGGATTCCCATGAGAAATGGAAATTTCATCCATGGAATGGAGCCAGTTTGCAATGAAATGGCCAATTTGAAATGAAATCGAGCCAGTCTGGGGTAACTGGGGGTGTAAGCCAAGTACATAGACGACAGTCCATTTGGATGACTTAGTAAACCAGAGCTATGAAACATTATAAGTGGTATGACGTGTCCAGTGTTGCTTTCTTGCTTGGCTGTGACGAATTCAGAGCCAACAAATGCCCCACAGAATTACGACCGAGTTTGTGAGCTGAGTAGAAAAACTCGGTCGTAATTTTTTTTTCCTTCTACAATGCCCGAGAAAGGATTCTAGGTGTATGTTGCAGACCATGGGGCCAGTTGACTATGGCCACTAACCAGATAACTCCTTTGTATCCATGTATGTTTGTAAATATGTCTGTCTGTCTGTCTGTCTGTATGTATGTATGTATGTATGAATGTAATGTTATGTCACGTGATGTAATGTTATGTCACATTAAGTCGTGTAATGTTCTGTTATGTTACATCATGTATGTCTGTAAGTATGTATGTATGTATGTATGTGTGTATGTATGTGATGTAATGTTTTTCACACTAAGTCATATAATGTTATGTTATGATACATCATGTGTGTCTGTATGTATGTATGTATGTATGTATGTATGTATGTATGTATGTATGTGCGTATCTGCGTATGTGTGTATGTGTGTATGTCTGTATGTCTGTATGTGCGTATGTCTGTGTGTATGTATGTGCGTATGTCTGTGTGTATGTATGTATGTATGTATGTATGTATGTATGTATGTATGTATGTATGTATGTATGTATGTATGTATGTATGTATGTATGTATGTATGTATGATAGATATATAGATAGAGAGATAGATAGATAGATAAATAGATATATAGATAGATATATATATAGATAGATGGATAGATAGATAGATAGATAGATAGATAGAGAGATAGAAGGATATAGATAGATAGATAGATAGATAGATAAATAAACAAATAGATGGATAGATAGATAGACAGATAGAAGCATCGATCGATAAATAGATAGATCGATAGCTAAATAGATCGATCAAAAGATAGATAGATAGATAGATAGATAGATAGATAGATCGATAGATAGATAGATAGATACATAGAAGGATAGATAGATAAATAGATACATAGATAGACAACTCAATAGATAGATACATGGATAGATAGATGGATAAGGAGGTAAGTACATAGTCAGAGAAAAAGAAAGAAAGAGATGCGGACCAGGGGGGAATCGAATGGGGGGGGGGCCCCCCCCTACGTCTCCGTTCGTGACTCTCGGCTCTCAATTTCCGGGAAAGGACCACCCACCTCCCCCAGTACTAAACTAGTACTGGCTTTTGACTTGCTGGCCCCAAGTACGTCCATGTCAGCTATGTTGGGCCTACATATCTTGGAATCATCTTGCAAGGGCCTGGTCCAGGCCTGGGTGCCTGCCTGTTCTTATGCCCGCCGGGCGTAAGCGCAGGCGGGGCTTTGGCAGCGCAGGTTTGGCAGGGTAAAGGCTGTTTTTTCATCATTTTAGGCCCAAAACCTGTTCGATGAAGGGCCTGCCTGTTCTTATGCCCGGCGGGCATAAGCGCAGGCGGGTGAAAAGGAGACATTTCATCCACAGGGGTGTTTTGCCGTGGATTCCCATGAGAAAGGGAAATTTCATCCATGGAATGGAGCCAGTTTGCAATGAAATGGCCAATTTGAAATGAAATGGAGCCAGTCTGGGGTAACTGGGGGTGTAAGCCAAGTACATAGACGACAGTCCATTTGGATGACTTAGTAAACCAGAGCTATGAAACATTATAAGTGGTATGACGTGTCCAGTGTTGCTTTCTTGCTTGGCTGTGACGAATTCAGAGCCAACAAATGCCCCACAGAATTACGACCGAGTTTGTGAGCGGAGTAGAAAAACTCGGTCGTATTTTTTTTTTCCTTCTACAATGCCCGAGAAAGGATTCTAGGTGTATGTTGCAGACCATGGGGCCAGTTGACTATGGCCACTAACCAGATAACTCCTTTGTATCCATGTATGTTTGTAAATATGTCTGTCTGTCTGTCTGTATGTCTGTATGTATGTATGTATGTATGTATGAATGTAATGTTATGTAATGTGATGTAATGTTATGTCACATTAAGTCGTGTAATGTTCTGTTATGTTACATCATGTATGTCTGTATGTATGTATGTATGTATGTGATGTAATGTTTTTTTCACACTAAGTCATATAATGTTATGTTATGATACATCATGTATGTCTGTATGTATGTATGTATGTGCGTATCTGCGTATGTGTGTATGTGTGTATGTCTGTATGTCTGTATGTCTGTATGTCTGTATGTCTGTATGTATGTATGTATGTATGTGCGTATGTCTGTGTGTATGTATGTGCGTATGTCTGTGTGTATGTATGTATGTATGTATGTATGTATGTATGTATGTATGTATGTATGTATGTATGTATGTATGTATGATAGATATATAGATAGAGATAGATCGATAGATAAATAGATATATATATATATAGATAGATGGATGGATAGATAGATAGATAGATAGATAGATAGAGAGATAGAAGGATATAGATAGATAGATAGATAGATATAAACAAATAGATGGATAGATAGATAGACAGATAGAAGCATCGATCGATAAATAGATAGATCGATAGCTAAATAGATCGATAAAAAGATAGATAGATAGATAGATCGATAGGTAGATAGATAGGTACATAGAAGGATAGATTGATAAATAGATACATAGATAGACAACTAAATAGATAGATACATGGATAGATAGATGGATAAGGAGGTAAGTACATAGTCAGAGAAAAAGAAAGAAAGAGATGCGGACCAGGGGGGAATCGAATGGGGGGGGGGGCCCCCCCCCCCTAAGTCTCCGTTCGTGACTCTCGGCTCTCAATTTCCGGGAAAGGAGCACCCACCTCCCCCAGTACTAAACTAGTACTAAAGTACATAGAACTCAGGTAGCCTAGGCTACCTTTCGTGATTAGGGGGATAGGATTCTATACATTCATTGGTGGTGATGATGGTTGAATGACGGTGATTCAATGGTTGCATCAATGGTTGTTGATGCTTGAAATCTGGCGGGATGGATGATGGTGATGCTGGTCATTCACCCGAATATTTTTTTTGCTGGTGAAATGTGCGGATGATGAATGATGAATGATGAATATCATGAATGGTTGGTGAATGACATGTTCAAAAAGAATTGACCACCATTCATCATTCATAATTCCAATCACCACCAACCATCATTCCAACCCTTGGTGAATGACATGTTCAAGTGGTGAATGATGCTTGGTGATGCTTGGAATCCGATTGGATGGGTGAAATCCGATTCCCATGTTTTCGTGGTGGATGAAATCCAAAATTCAGAACTTACCAGGTTACCATGCTTCAGAAATGGAATAGATAAACAATAATAATATGTATATATAATAATATGTATATATAATAATAATAATAATAATAAATAAATAAATAATATATATATATGTATGTTAAAAAATGAATACCACCCACTCAAATTGCAATTGTATATGGTTTATAGCCATGGCACTCACAAAAAAAAAAAAACGGAAAGGACAAAGCCGCCAAAGCCCAGTCAGAAATAGTTTTGTGACATGTTTTAACCATTTGCCAACTGGAATGCAAATCTAAGGAAGTTGGTCTGGACTGCAGTGGATGATTTCTACAGGATTCGCACGTTTTTAATGTCATCCTGCCGGTCGGTTGAGTGCGGCACTTTTAAAACATCTTTTGTCCTAGCAGATCCACTGGGAATATGAGGATCTAAGGATATCTAAACCACCCATCAACCGCTGACATTCAGAAAATCTCACGTGCCAAGGACCAAACCCAGGGTTCGTCTAAGCGATTGTACCTGGTCAGGGCTCACCACTGGGCAGGACCAACTAAACCCAAAAATAAACCTACCATTTTCGGGATGGTTTATAGCACTTAGAACCTATTTACGGCAATCTTGGGGTGGTTCATTCTTGGATTTACCACATGATTAAGTCCCTCCTCAAACGAACCAAGAGATAAAGCACTGTCAACGGTTGCAGCTCCGCGCTTGTTACATTTCCAGTCCAATGGATGGTAGCTCTGCCTTTTCGAAATCATTCCTTTCCTACCAGGCTACCACGGAAATCATCTCTTGCTCCATGCAGATTTGATATGATTTGATGTTCAAAGTTCACATAATCATGGAAAGATCCACCATTTGTAATAGGTAAACCATCTATTTCGATTAGGGCCATCTATATCATGGCGAACTGTTAGTCATAACCAGAGGGTACATGTCAATGGATCTATTTTGCTGGGTTCCCATTTCACGCACGGTTTCACCGTTGGTTTTTCCCCCCATCATGGCTGTTCGCCATGGCACCAGGATCGCCACAGCCGCAGGCTCTGCGCATTGAGTCCGGTGGCTCCCAACCTCGGCGTTTTACCGAGTTCACCCTGACATTCCCATGACTTTTTTCGGAGACTTCCAGCAATTCTTCGCAAAAAAAACCTGAAACCAATGAAGTTACACAAGGGTTTCTGGAGTCCAATAAGAATACCCACTATGCACATGTTTGATGTAGTGCGCTGACTGTCGTTGCATGGAATATAAACGGCTGAACATGGGCACCCCTCAGCACCCCTGGGGGCTCCGGCATATGAGGCAAAGTTCCACCCAGGAGCAGCAGTTGACAACACCCCAACCTCGGTAGCGCTGCACTACTTTTGGCGCAAAATAAGTATCCCAAACTGGCACAAGACAATGTGGCAAAGTCAAAGGACTCATTTTACATGTTACATAAGTTACATACATCATTTACCCGCCATCAACCAGTGGTGATAAGATTGACATCAAGTGACATTTCAAACATTTTACCACATTTTACCACCTGTAAGAATGACATGTTGCCATCATAGTGAGATGCACCCTCTGGTAAACGTTTACATAACTATGGAAAATCACCATTTTCAATGGGAAAATCCACTATTTCTATGGCCATTTTCAATAGCTATTTTGAGATAACCAGAGGGTAGTGATGTCATCCATGAGCCACGGCACGGCACGAGGCTCGCCGCCACCGCCCATGGAGGCCGCTCCGGGGATGCAGGGGCTACGGAGGACCAACGCCTGAGGTCGCTCTGAGTGGGGGTAGTGGGGGTAAACAAAACCATGAAACATAGGGAAAATCCATGGAAAATATCCGGATAACCCATGGAAAAGGATGAACATTACTGGAATTTGATGGGAAAATTTACGGAATCATGCAGGATTTACCATGGTTCATGGAAAATATAGGGATAATAATCAATGGAAAATATAAAGGTTTAGTGGGACTTGATCGGGAAAACCATCAAACGGAAAGACGGTAGATGATTATCGGAGTGTGGTGCCATGAGGGGAATAAAAATTCCCCTTGGTTCAAACAAGGATAGTAACGGTAAGTCATTAAACCTGGATTTTTTTGGGAGCCCCAGCTGCCAGCAAGTTACCAAGTTGCTTGCGACCCACCAATCATGAACTGAGTGATGGTCTCCCAGCACAAAAATAGCTATAGAAACAAGATTTACAGACAAGAGTCCTGATAGTGGGGATAGAACCAGCAAAGCCAGGATAAGCGACAAAGATTCAAAGTGAAGACATGCATATAACATTTTAGATCTCTATATACACAAAGTAAAGACAATTACATATAACCGGAAAAAATTGAATATCGAATAACGACAAAGTAGTCCCAGTTTCGACAGCTGATCCTCTGGACACATGTTTTCTCCCAACCCCCGGGCGGCCTGTCGGCAATGTGGAAAACCTCGAAGCGACAATGAATGCATCGCAAAAATCTGGGTGCTCTATTCTGAACTCACATGCATACACAACATAACAAAAGAAAACATAACATAACGTAACATAATACAACATAATATTACATTGCATGGAATTGCATTACATATGTCCGTATGGTGTGTGTGTGTAGACCAGGTTGCAAACACGTTTATTGAAAACGACACATGTCAGAAATGATAGAACACACCTCAACATTCACAACCTTGCATGAGAACATAATGATAGAAATGATCAAAATACAATCGGCAGAAACACCAGCCACCACGATATTAAGTTCTTTCAGTATAGCGAACATGCACGTGCGTGTCAACAAAAAGCCCGCAGTCGGGACATGCTGAGGGACTCCCATACTTAAACCTGTTTGCATGGTGTTGTTTCTCGTTTTTCAACGGACTGTACAGGTGTCTAGGTAGTCATAAGATGTGTGACGTTCACCCCTCTACAATTGCTACAATATGGTCATATTGTTACATAAGTCAAACAGGAAACATGATCACAAAAAATTGACATCCTGGGATGCTGTATCATGTTCTTCATCACTTTCGCTAACAGCGAGTCTCAACTTTCACAGCGCCGAGTTGCAAAAAGCGTTCGAAAATCATGAGGCTCAGCAGGCTCCTGTGGGCCAGGACGGAAGGATTTTGGCGAAATGAGGATGACCTGCTTATCTGACGAAACGCATCGAAAATAGTGCTGGTTATAAACAAAGCAAATATGTATATGTGCATTAATATTGTCCCTTAAGTTTTATTTTGCATTTCGGAGCACTCCCCAAATAGCAATAAAATCATCTATCCCCATCCGCTGTCTATTTCGCCGGTCCTCAAATTGCCAGGTACTGCCCCCATAAATAAACCTCGTCGACTGGTGCGCTTGGCCCATGGCCATCCCATGGGCAATAAAACCCAAAACATTCCGACGGAGTGACTTGTCGTGACTTGTCGTGAGTTTGTTGATGTTTTTCCAGATTAAAAAAAAACATATATCACATGTTATCCTTATATGTCCTTATGCATTTTATCACCAATTTGGTTGGTTTTCTATCTCCATGTTGGTTAAACCATAAAATCCCATGAAACCACCATGAAATGCCATTAAAATCACTATTTGTTGGTTGATTTCATGGTGGTTTCGCACCTTTTCGTTGCTGAAAAAAGGTGCCCAGTGTGCCCAGTGGCCATTGGCCGTGCACTGCTTGGCAGGCACAGTGCCACACACGAGGAGAGGGCGCTTCACCATCACACTCCAGGCGCCTGGCAGTTGAAGCTTTTTTGGCCCTGATAAACCACAAAAAAACAATGGAAAATCGTGATTTTCATGGCATTTAATGGTGGTTTTTCATGGGATTTTATGGTGGTTTAATAGGATCTAATGATCTAATCTTTTCTTTTTACAATTATGGTTGATGTCACCTTTTACACATCTTTTTCATGGGATTACACATATCTCACATCGTATCACGTGCATCGACGACGAAGGCCAGGAATTTGGTTTCCAGTTTCTCCCTGCGGAGTGGATCTGTTCGCTTGGTTTCGCTTGGTTTCGCTTGGTTTCGCTTGGTCTTTAGACATGCAAAAGTGATACCCTCCAGTGATTGAATTGTGATTTAGTGGGATATTTTAGATCGCAAGTGGTTCGTGGTTTTGCGTTTTTCGTTGAGTAGTTCGTCTACCTTTCCTGTTCACAAATTACCCTCTGGTAATTTAACATAGCTATTGAAAATGCCATTTGATTTCTTAATTTTGAGATATAATTGTGATTCAAGACAATGTCATAAACAACCCATGACTGGGAATGGTTTACATTATCCCACCTATATATTTATGGTGATGACTGGGGGATGGTGCAAATGGCATTGTTTTAACCACATGAATTGTGATTCAATATAACTTCATGGCAACCAAACATGGCCAGCTGGGAAATCCCCAAAAGATACGGGTCCATCTGGTGACTGATCACCCTTAGGCCCTAGTCATAGTGATCGTCATAGCTGTTTTTTGAGAGCAATCTTGATGTTGAAAGAAAATTCGGTGGAAATAGTTCAGCGGTTTCTTTAAGGCCCTGTATAGATACGGTCTAGAAAAACTCATTGATGGTTTATAGAACATATACGGGGCCTATTTAAACCGTATCAATCATCAATCAAAAGTTCAAGGTTTCTGATTGATGGTTGAAAAACCCTCAATTCTCGTCAATTGGGATCATTGTCCCATTTCCACATCATCTACCCCCTGGTTATTTGACATAGCCATGGTATAGATGGCCCATTGAAATAGATGGTTTACCTATTAAAAATGGTGATTTTCCATGGCTATGTTAAATGACCAGATGATGGTAAAGATAAAGAAGAACATAATGTGGTTGAAACAATGTCATAAACTATCCATTTGCGAATGGTTGGTAAACATACCACCTATATATTTATGGTGATGACTGGGGGATGGTGCAAATGGCATTGTTTTAACCACATTAACAGAATATACATGGAACCACCATCCACTTTTAGAAAACCAGCTATTTTAACCATTCAATATGACCTGCGCCCAAGTCATCACCGGCCTCCATGGCAGCGTGGGAGTGGCAGCGAAAGATGCACCTTGGCCCGGGTCCCGTCAAGCACATTGGGAATCCAACCAAGTGTACGCATACAGGATATACACAATCAAAAAAATATACACAATCATATCTTTATATTTAGACTTATATTTATTTACATATATATATATATATTTCCACGTTGCCCACAGCTGCTGCACCTCATAGGTGTCTTACATTCGGCCAAAAAATGGCGCAGCATAGAGCTATGCCGTTCTGACATGTTCTGACCGTATCATTAGGATTGACCCGCCAGCCCTGGGGTTCCCCAAGCCACCGAATGTCTCGCTGAGGTGGATCAGTGTCCGTTTTCCTTTTTTTTGGGCTCAGATGGAAGCCGTAGTCCTCGCCGTGTACGTGTCTCTTTCCATATCATGGTTACTTCGCTGCAGCGGGTGTGATCTGTGGCCGACGTTTCGACCGACGTGCGCGCAACTTTGGGAAGTTCTTCATGTTTCTCGGCTGAACCGTTTGTTGGCACGTTGGTTGGGGGGTGGGGGGGGGTGTAATAACGTCCTGTCGACGACCTTCTTGACGGTCTTCGTGATCTTGCAACATTCAACATCCAACATCCAACACGCTTTTGATGCTACGCTGTGACAAGATCGAGCACCGCAATCTGCTGTGCGCGCACTACTTGAACCAGGAGCCTGGCTTGGAACGCGTTCTTCGAGCTCTTGCCGTACATAGGCAAAAAGCGTCAAATGGATTAACAAGTCCATCGCGATGCTTCCAGAAACCTTTGTGGAACTTGTGACTGCAGTGAAAAGCGCAAAAAAAGTGACTATCAGCTTTTGGGCCGCTGTGGCATATTGGTATGTGCAATGAATTTTTAATGGATCTCCATTTTCCTTGGCGTTCGCAGGGGTTTTGCATCATCATTTTAATGCCTATGTACGGACACTTGATAAAATCGGCAACCCTTTCACGGAATTTGCTTCTTCCATTCTTCAAAACCAACACATGTTGTTAAATTGATGCTTCTCATCGACGGACATTTTTCAAAAATGACCGCGCGCCCCATGATCAACAACTGATGAGTTCACATCTTCAGAAACACAAAAAACATTGGAACAACCCATATAAAATGGACATTTGCCTATGCAATGGATCTTGGAATAAATGATGCTCCCGGGTAACCTAAGGGCCGGAGCGTCATTAGAAATGAGAAGTCCAAGGCTGGCACAACAATTGGTTGAAATAGCCAGTTAATTATTGGTAGAATTAATTCAACCAATTGTCAAGAAACAATTATCTATTTAATTCTACCGAATTGATTCTTGACACCAATTCATTCTACCTCCTGCAACCTGCAAATCAAATGAATCTCCAGCCCAGGCACCTGCCAGATCGAGGGACCAGACATCATTGGTGCATCGGCCCCCTTGCCTCCGACCCCCGAAGATCACGAATTCCTGGCTTCAAGGCCCACTTAAATCATCAAAAGTAAAAAAGATCACCATCTCTAGCTGAAGACTGAAGTCAAAAACACCCCTCCAACCTCCAACCTCCAGGCTACCTCGATTTTTTTCCATGTTTTTCCATATAAAAAGCTTCCAAAGTTGCCAAGCGTCATCCTGAAACACGGTGCCCTTCACCCCCTGCACCGGGCTGGGCATCTGATCCGACTCCACGGAGCCCGGAGATGCCACGACCTGCCAGGTGGCCCTGGGGTCGTCGCCCTCCCAGCCCTCCAGGCACAAGGCGCTACAGGCGTTGTGCACGTCCGAGTGGGGAGCACCACCACCAAAGAAGTAGATGCAACG